CCATAACGTAAGTCATGGGAATATGACTGTACAATATGCAAAGAACCTGACATTTCTGATGCCACCAGGGTCTGTGGCACTTGGTGGTGTTGCTGAGTTAGTGCCTCCTTCATCGAGAGCCTCCAGGCTTTTCAGCACTTCCCTCCGGCATTCGCCGTTTGCATATCCCTTCAGATATTTGGATAAACTTCATTTAGATCTGCTCTCCAGCCAACTGACTTTGTTTGGTTGACTTCTTAGTCAAGGCCAGCTTGGCAGTAACTTAAAAGTAGGCACATCAGAAGCCGTGACGTGACCCTCGCTGGCCGGGGAGGTTGTCCTCCAGTTCCCGTTCCCAAGCTCGCTTGGCGAGCGGCACCGGCAATGCCCGGGAATGTCCCGTGGCTGCGGCTGGCAGCTGCTGCTCTGCTCGGCCCTTCCCGGCTGTCGGTTTTCCAGCTGAAAAGCTCTGGGTACCTGCTCCGGGTGGAATTGCAAGATCAGAGATCTTGGTTTTATTTGTGATTATACTGTAGCTTGTGTTTTCAATAGCAGGTTCTTGCTCAAGCGTGCAGATTGTAGGCATCCAGGGTGAGACAGCTTCATTTGACTGCTTCCCCCTTCCCACGGCATTAAAGAAAGAGCACAAGCTAGCATCTGTTTAAGAAAAAAAGAAAAACAAAAACAAACAAAAAAGCCCCAACCACACAAATAAACCAAGCAACAAAAAAACCCCAACGACAGACACTAGAGGTGTCTTCATGCTTGCTTTGTGCTCCTATGAAGTGAAGCTCTTAAGCGTTTGTCAGCTGCCACAGGATTTTGTAAGTTTAATGTTTGTAAAAGGTGTTCTGCTCCGGTGAGCAGAAAAGCTCTTAATTGCAAAGTGTTGATGTCGTGGTTCTTGAGATGTGCTTGCTAATCTGCTCTGTAATCACCTCCAGGCATTTTATGCGTAGGCCTCAGCTCTTTGGCCTTCAGTTTCTTTTTCCCTTAGTCTGGAAACAAAACGTTTGCCTTCATGGAGCATATTCCAGGCTGTGTGGTCTGGATTGGCTGTTGTGAAGCAGGTGTATCCCTGTCTCTCCTGGTCTTATACTCTTATTTCTTGCTGTGTGGGGGTTTTTTTGGGGGGGGTGTTTGTTTGCTTGCTTGTATCTAATTCAGTAAGTGTCCATGTTATGAGTTAGTGCGTTTTGTGTGTGTGAAGCTCCTCATCTAGATTCTTCTGCAAGAGCATCTCTGAATAGCATTTCTGCATAACCTGTTTTTTAGGTTGCAGGCTCCCGGGACTCACGCTGGTAGTTTAGCAAATCCGAGGTCAGCGTAGCACCCCTCTTTGCTTCGATGCAGCATCGGGCGCACCGGTGAGATGACGGCCTTTGTTAAGTAAGTGTTGTGCAGAGCAGAAGCGTCTCACGTTTGCAAAGCGCTTGCCCGGCTTCTGTACGGAGACGCAGCGTTGCTGCAATCGGCAAGTTCCCTCTGGTTGCGGTTACGCTTTGTGGCAACCAGGTGACGCAGGAGATGGACTTTAACTTCTATTATTCAGCGACAAGACGGTGTCGGAGTAGTCAGTTTACTCTTAAAACTTCTGAGAGGCTCTACCCTGTGTTACGTGAGCGCAACGCAGCGAGCATGGGGATCCTCGAGCACCTCTCCCCTTCTGCGTGGGGTTGGGGAGGAAATCTTTAGAGGAGGAAAGATGAAGCTCTAAGATTTCCCTGCAAACTGCCTATCAAAAAAGACAAAGGGGTTTAGCCACTGGTACTGTGAAATCAGAGGAACTGCCTCCCGGTTAGCTTTGGTGGCCTTACTTTCCGTTGCGTGCTTTGGTATTTCTTTTTGTTGGCGGTAATCGTGATATGAGGCATTTTTAAAAGAAGGGAACACAGCTTCCCCTTGGGTGAAGGAACTTACCTAATTGCGCAGGAATGGTTTCATTAGTAAAGTTTGTCTCTCGGAGCCAAGACTGTAGGTTTGCATAACAGTTTGGGCTTTTCTCTTTTCCTTACCATCCTCCCCTCATGCTTGCAAGCACCTTCCGTGCCACTTATGGATCTGTATTTTAAAGGGAAGAAATGACTGTGTAAATGTTCTGAGCAGTTTTAACCTGCTTAGGCTTTTATTTTGGAGTTTATAGTGATTTCATTCCATGAGTTTTTCAGAAAATCAGCCTATTGGTGACTCTTCTTTCTACTCTTACTCCATTTCCTAACAATTATCCTAAATGGTCACTTAAAGTAGCGATTATCCCTTGGGCCAAGCGTCGGGCTCTTCATTTTGCTTTCTGAAATCAGCCCTGTATTTACCTTGAAGATAGGATTTTTCCTTTTTTTTTTCTTGTATTCTTCAACAGGACTTTTTAAGTTATAGATGACTGGAGTAAACCATTTCTAGCTCTTCCTGAAATGTGGATAAATACCACAGAGGCCTATATGTAATGCAAGAAATTTACTTTCGCGTGCAGTAGGGGGTAAAGCGGTGGTGGCGGGATTTTCTTCCTCTTTGTTCCTTTAGCTTTTTTTTTTTTTCTTAACCTGTGGTTTCTTAGGGTTATATAGAGCATTATATTCCAGTACAGCATTATATTCCAGTACAGCATTTAAGTGGGTTGAATGCAAGTAATTTGTATTTTTAAATAAAGCCTTGAAAAGTTATTTGGCTTGTCTTCAAGATGAATTGCATCTCCCATTGCAGAAGAGACCCTGTTTAGTGTTGAAATACTGCCAGTACAGAGCAGATTTCAAGGACTAGCTTTTATTTATGTGCCTAAACTATTTTTTGTCTGCGTTTGACAATGCAGATCAAGGGGGGGGGAATCAAGTACCAATTTAAGACGCTCATTAGAATATTTATCTCTCTGTATTTTCTTATAAATACTTGAACTATCTTAGTTTGTAGGCGGATAGTATTATAATGCAAATAGTTGTTGAGGAATCATCAAGTAACTTGTCAGTCACTTATTTCCGTAGGTTCCTTACCTGGAGTTCTTCCTGTCTTGAACTCTTGCTTTGAGACTGAAAATACGATCTTCTGACCTCCTCTTTGTCATCCCCTGTCAAAATCCCCTTCGGCTCTTCCCACGCCTCTGTGTCCCCTTCTCAGGCTGATGAAAGAAAAATACGACTGTTCACAGAGTCTGCCTTGGAAAGTGTGGGCTGCAGGAGGTAACGAACTAATTGTCTGACATTCATCTCTTTGATCTGTTAGTAAGATTTTTATGGATTGTCGTTGCTTTGGAATAGTCGATTTTGAAAGTACTGGCAATCAACCGCTGCCTCCCATCAGTGTTTTTGGTTGTACGGTGATACTGTGCTTCCCTGCAGCTTGAGGAGGGACTGAAATAAACCTTTACAGGGCGGATCAACAGCAAACGGGGATCGTGCCTGTCTGCGTCAGAGCTAAATCTACTCTCGTGTCTCTTTCCGTTCCGTCACAACGCACAAATATCTGTGTGTATCTTGAGATTTTTCCCTATAGAAAATGTAACACGCTTTCTCTCTTGCTGTAAGTTGAGAGACAGAGAGACTTATTGTTTGTATATGGTGTGTGCGTGTCATTCATGGAAACTTCAAAGCTGCTCCGGGTGACCCTGAGAGCGCTTAACCTCAGTGACTCGCTGGCTGCCTCCGCTTCGCTCGCTTGAGAAGCGAGCGCTGACTCTTCTGGCGTTCACCGCAATGCTTTCAGTGCATGGGAAGCACCGAGTCCCATCTTGCCGGGTTGCGTCTCGGCAGGTCCTACGTGTGCCTGTGCTTTTGGCACGTCTCCCTCGTCCTTCCAGGCTGCGATCCCTGTTGGGAACCCTGCCGGAGCCGTGCGCTCCTGTCGCACGGAGGAAGCCAGCAAGGCTGGTCTTGGTGTTCCAAGGGATTCCCAAGTTGTGCGTCTGGCTTCGTTTTAATATTAACTAGAGCTGTCTTCAGGGTTAGAATTGTGTCAGCTGGAACTCGAAACGTGCCTGGACAGTGCCACGCGGGCTGGCGCCGTCTCGGTCACCCGAGGACGAGGTTGATCGGTGTCGCACAGCCTGACCTCTTCACCGTCTTCACTGCAGCGCAGCATGGCATATGGGAAAGTCTGAACCCGGTTATTATCCCTTTATTTTCTCCTTATAAGTTCCTGATGACTACCAATACGTACTGTAAATAAAGCCATTTGCAAAGATACAAGTCTTGATAAATGCCAGACTTGCTTAACATCCTGCAGTTGCAGAATACTAAATGACAGGCATGGGGCTTTTTAAAAGTTATTTCAATTAAAACATTTGAATTTTAAATCTTGCATTGTGCTTTTGACATTCTGCATTATACAGGCTGTTAATTTCTCCTGTTGATTATACCCAAGGAGAAGAGGTGTATTAAAAATAGTGTAAAGCCACAAAAACTGACACCTTTCCAATCGGCACAGAAGCAACTGTTTCATTACACTTTTTGGAAATAATCCCGGGCTGATAGTGACGTTTTGGTTTCAACTTGAGTGGGGTTTACCGCCATATCCTGCGCTGTTGTTGGCTGTAACAAGCAAAAGAAAAAATGATTTTATAATGGGCGCAGACTGGAGCGCGAGCTGTGACCGGTCATCAGTTACGTTTTGTAACTCCTTGTGAAAAGGCAGAGCTCTGATAGGGGAGGAAGGAGACTATTTTTGCTTTCAGTTCTTTTTTTCTTTAATGTTCTTTTTCAATCTTTGGAAAAATTAAATAAGAAAAACACTTCCAGAGGCCGTGAGTATCCCCACATTGTTGCTGTGAGACCTGGACTGGCATATCTTATTTTGACAATTTTCCAGAGCGATTAGCCAGGCTGGCCCCTTCCCGTATTCCTGGGACTTGGAAGGAATCTCTGGGAGCCTTTGACTCCTGCCTCCCTCATTGCTAACGCTTGTTTTTGTTTCTCTCAGCTACCAGAATGTCCACGGATGGTGGCTTCGGCACAGCCGGCAATAGCGATGCCCAGCAAAGCCTCCAGTCCTTCTGGCCACGAGTCATGGAGGAGATACGCAATCTCACAGTGGTGAGTGTCCTCGTCGCTCATGTTGTTTCTGAAGAACTGACAGCGAGAAGTGCCCGGCAAGATAAACCTCAGCTTGAACATATTCCTTTTCCTGCTGCTTATGGGATCCAGTAGAGTTGGCTGTTTACACACTGCAAGGTGGCCTGAAGAGCTGATAAATAATCATTCGGCCAGGCTTTTGACTATTGGCGACAACTGCCAGAACTTGAGATATAAATTGAATGCAGCTGATTCGTAGCATAATGAGATATAATAGTCATACTTTCAGCTCTTTCTGGACTAAACAAGAAGACAAAGTTGATTCAAAGGTTCTTTTAACAGGCTAAATGATGACTGTGGCTGCTTTCTAGAGAATTGCAGAGGAATTCTCTTCTGTTTGGGGGAAAAAGGGAAGTGATTTTAAAATAGCTACAGGTGTAAGTACAGCTGCCATAAGCTGTTGTAGCTAACAGAAGATTGGGATTTGAGAATACACCTCACATTGTACTTCTTGGACTGTTTAACTGCTGTTCAAATTCTGTAACGTAAAAAAATGCATGACCAGCACGTGAGGGACCCCTTATCCACACAGAAGGACAGGCCCCATCAGTACACCCTGGGAGACGTTACTGTTCAAAATGTGACTCTTGGTCTTCCCCCCCGCCTTCGTAAATTCAAACACTTGGCTATTGGCAGACAGTTACAATTTTGTGAATGAATTTTTGGGTTCAGACTTTTGTATAGAACTATTATGCTCTCTTTCAGAACTGTCTACTTTGACAACCCTGAGGTTTTGAAATTCACTTGAATGCCAAGTGCATCGTTCTCACATGTTTTATTAATTGAAAGGCATTTGATTAAAAAAATCGTGCATATGCTGAGAATAAGAATTGGACTAAATAGCTTCTCTTTTTTTTTTCCATCCCCAAAAGAGATGTGCCTGAGAACAAGGGCATATAATAAAAATGACTTTTCGAGAGAGATTGATAGATTACTGTGATACAGTGGTCCTGAAAGCACACTCCTGTGCTTTTGATGTAACTGAAAACAAAAGAACCCCAGTCAAAGATGGGCTGTTCAAAGTGAAAACCCCAATCCAGTAGTCTGCAGATAAGCTGCTTTTTTCAGCCTGTGTGCAGATAGTTGATTAAAGAAACAGATGTAGAAATTTGTATGCATAACCAGAATTAATTACTTTCCTCTTTCAGCGCAGTGAATTCTTGTGTTCCAGAGCTGTAGTTTGTCTTCATCTCTACATGAAAGGGGTTTATTCTACAGCTTATCAAGTATGGGCAGCTTAATTTTTAACTGTCGTATGAATCTATTTATTGCACTGCAAGCCAGTAAGTCATTGAAAATTTAACTGAGGACAGTGAAGGGGAGTTGGAAAGGAAAAGGCATAATTGCAAAACATTCCTGTGCAGTTGCCCGCTGCGCAATCAAATCCTGAAATTTATTGCGCGTCGTACTGAAAGTGCTCCCATGGACGTGGAGGTAAGTAAACTTAAAGCTCATCCACCTGTACTGCATAGCGGAGGTCAGAGCAGCTGTTTGATGGAAAGCCTGCTTTGGTTGCCTGCTTTTCAGGGCTATCTCTGCCTGGTTTTGTGTGTTTGCCATGTGCCACCAGTAGCTAAAATTCAAGGGGGAAGAAACAAGGGAGCTGCTTCAGAAAAACAAACCAGAGCTCCCTGTTCTCTGCCCTGTATAACAGAACGGACTGTAGCCTAGTCTTGGAGAAAAAGGAAACAGGACTAGGCCGAGACTTGCCTTTCAGCTCCACAATGAGTTAGAAGAGGCCTGTGAAAACATCGAGACCTAATTTGGAAAAAAGAAAAGATGAAGAATTGGTGTCTAAAGTTTGTTCTGCTGGGTAGTAGCCAGTAGTGGTCATGCTTCCCTTCACCATGGTTCTTGCGTATTAATTTTGATTTATGTGATGTTTGCCTGTCTGCCTTAAAGGAATAAAGGAGCTTTATTTTTTTTCCTCTAATTTCTCCCACTGTCTCTCTTCTCTAAAGATTTTAATAGCGTCGTACCTATGCCTGTCTACTTGCAGTTCTGCTTGTAGAAGTTAATATACTTAAGACTGTTAAGACTTTCACAAATTAGACATTTTGCCCTTATCTTTCTTTGAGGCTTGCTCAAAGCTCAGGAGGCTCTTAAAAAAGGAATGAGCTTTAAAAATAAAAAAGCCCAAAACCCCCTCAAAAAAACCTTTGGGATATTTTTTCCGTGCCCTAGCAACCCCGTAACTTGTTTATGTGGTGGTTACTGCTTGAAAACACCCCCCTGAGCACATCGTGTGTTCAAGCGAAGGTCCCAGCCCTGGCTGCCCTCTTCCCCCATTGCCCAAAATCCTTCCAAACGGCCGCGTTCGGCAGCGGGACGCGCAGCCCTCGGCACGCCTTGCGAGGACACCTCCACCCCCCAGATGAGTTCCGATTTGCAGCGTATCGCTAGGAGCACCAGGAGCACCTCATTCGCGTTTCTCAGTGGAATGAGGGCACAGAATGCTTTTTTGATATATACATGTATAAAATAATATATAAAAATATACATAAAATTTTTATATAGCAATTAAATAAAATGCCCCCTGCTGGTGTGCTGGCTGGACCACGCACAACCTCCATATTTTGCTTCAATAGAAAACAGCATTTTCAGCATTTTTCCCCTCTTTTGTTTCACTAACATGTCTTGCAGTGCCTTCTTCCCTAGAGAAATTAGTTTCCTTTTATTTTCTATGACATTTTTGTTAAAAAGGGAAGACGTTTTTTTAGAAGCCCTTTGTGGGTAGGGATTCTGCATTCCTGATGCAACGGTACGTAGCCTCAGCCTTTCTCCCCTTTTAAGATGCTCCTGGTAGCAACACACTGGGTTGGTTTTCTTTTTAATTCCCCTTTCTATCTTCAGAGAAGGGAGAGTGGAGCTCAGCAGTGTCCCACACCCCAGGGAAGTACAAATAAAGCAAAGAAGATTTCATCCTGTGGCCCCACATAGCTCTTGTTTGCCTTCATTTTCTCTTGTGACTTTTTGTAAATTCCAACGGTTTCTGGGTCCCGAGACACCTAATTGAATTAGTTGCTTCAAATATAAATAGATGCAGAAATGTGTGACGTTAGAAACATTCTGTTCTGCAGAATGACTTCAACTTTGAGGTGAAATAGTAGATACAAGTGTCTGACAGAAGATTTAAGTAGAATTACATCAGTATAAAATACAGAAAAGCAGACGAGAATTCTTGGGCCTGAGGAGAAGCTGCCATACCCCAAAGAAAATAAGTTATTTTATAAATCTAATTTTAGCCAGTTTAGTTCTGGACAATATAGACTTGTTTTAAGATTTCTTACCTTACCTGTGTTTTCAGTTAAGTATCAGTAAAGAGTTTCTCAAATGTGAATCTCTCTGCAGAAAGACTTCAGAGTTCAAGAACTCCCTCTGGCTCGTATTAAGAAGATAATGAAGCTAGATGAAGATGTGAAGGTACACTCATGGGGTTTTTTCTTAAGTATTTATGATTCTTTTGGTGGATATTGTAGCTATAATTCCTTGCAATTCATTACTTCTTATTATCACTATTTATTAGTATTTTTAAAGCACATTTTAACAATTGCCTTGAATGCAATTTTAGCTGGCCTTGTATAATTAAACTGAGCTGGGAAAGCAAAATCATTTGGGATCTTTGCTGAAGACTCTTGCAGTTTTGCTTTCTTCTGGTAAATACCAGTCTGCCATCTAATTCTGGATATTTCCTGTTTTTTCTAGTGCTTAACTCTCTTTTCTCGTGTTTCCTCCTTGTTTCTCTCGACTCTTCCTTTCACAAAGCTGTAGAGTGTTTAGTATGAAGAGTAATATCGCTTAAATGTGTGCTACGCTGTTTCAAGTTTTATGGAAAAAATAAGTAAGAATTTTGGTGGATAACGTGCGTTTGATACCAGTATTTGAGCTGAACGCTTGGCGTGTGACTGATGACGGTAACACGTGAATTGACTGACGAAAACTTGCTGGCATAAAAGGAAGGAGAAAGGAATCACCTGCAGGGTTTGCCTCTTGCGCTGCTCCAGTCCTCCCTGGTTTTTAAGTTGGGAAACTGTCAGACACTTAACTGCTAAGAGAAAAGAGAAGGGTTTGCACTTTCTTCTTGCTTTTCTCAATGTGACACCAGCCTTCTGTTAGGACAACCTTTAACATTTAAATGAGATCCTGAGAAAGGTGTGTGTTGTCTTCCTAGACAAGGGAGCTATTCATTCAGCCTGGAAGGGGAATGAACCCAGGCTCTGAGGTCCCAGTGCGGCGTCTGAACCAGAGGAGTGCCAAATTTTTGATGATGAAGGGGAAGATGAGATTTTCGGGCAGCGCAGGTCAGGGGGGGAGTCTCTGGCCTGCCTGGAACATTATTTAGCAAGAAGACTGTACTAGGGAGTAAGAATTAATGCCAAGCTAGCTAATAATGAAACTGCTTAATTTGAGTAAAACTTGAGCTAGATAGATACTTTTTAAGGAAAAGGAATTTGGTGAGGCAGAGTCTTTACTCAGGCCTCCAAACCTTTTTTGCAATTTCAGCCTTCATTTCAAATTATGTAAATGTTATAACTCTAATGTAAGGGCCAGGTTTTAAAATGAGCCCTCAACCTGTCCTCTTCAGTTCCCAAATCGTTTATCCCCGTGCCAAGGCACTGCCAGGAGAAGCTGCTGGGTGGGCGACACCCCCTGGGTGAACGTGCCCGGGTGCCGTTTGCTGGCCTGCCATAATCCAGCACAATATGGAGCTGGCACCTGACTAGTCCTGGAGGAAACAGGCTTTTGAGACACATTTTAGATGCCCAGTACTTTTTAACGCTACGTTTAACTTGAGGCTGGTAACTCTCCGGACTGTCAGACCTGTAGATACTCTGATGTGGAAATTCCCCCAACTTCACTGTTAAACAATGCAACCATTCAGATTCGACTGCCATGCTAAAGTTACTCTGACTACCACTTTGCAGTGTTAGAATACTAATGGTAAACTTTAAAAAAAAAAAAAAAATGTAAAAAATTGTAAATTCAATTGCAGATGATCAGTGCAGAAGCTCCTGTGTTGTTCGCCAAGGCAGCTCAGATATTCATAACAGAATTGACTTTGCGAGCATGGATACACACAGAAGATAACAAGCGCAGGACTCTGCAGGTAACCGAGCTGCTCCTACCCAGCCTTCAGCCGCTTCATAAACTGTTTCCAACTCTGTTTCCATAATACGAGGCATGTTTTGTAGACAGTAACTTTAGTACCTGTGTTTATCACTACAAACGTGTGTACAAAGCACAGTGCGCAGTGTAACTGTGCGGCTGAAATGCTTTTTTTTCTTCGTTTGTTTTTAAAAAACAAACAACAAGCACCAAAACCCAAAGCTGCAGCTGTCAGCTAATTGTGACTTGCTGTAACGACTCAGGATAGCTGTGGCTGTCAAACTTCTGGCTGATTTGTTTTTCAGTAGTAGTTGTAATGTAAGCTTGTAGATGTTAGTTTGTGTCAATAACTGTGTAGAGATGAAAACAAAAATACCCTCCTCCGTAACAGACTACTGTCTCTGCTGGATTGAGAGGCCCTCGATAACAGTCATTTTTTTTTTTAGTGGTTCAAGAGTAAACTGTAACTCTTCAGGGTCTTTTTATCGGGGGGGGGGGGGGAAAATTGGCATTTACTTTTAGTCTTACATGATGACCAGAACTGCTTGAAACTATTAATACCCATCAGTTCAAGCCCTCAGAGCAGAGGTGAGAGATTGTGATATTTAGGATCATGTCAGCTCTGCCGTCCCCTGGCACAGAGCTTGCTGCAGTGGCGAGGAGACGTGTCTGATTTCAGTCCAAAGCTGTCCTGTTGAATGGGCATCCAGCCACTCAATCGCCACTACGTTGGGCTAACGCTGCTTGCTTAACCCAGGTTTTATTGCGGTTACTGGGGGAGGATGTATTTGATATACGTTCCATGAACAAGATGCTTTGTAAGTACAAGTGCTGACTCAGGCCTGGCCTGTTAACAGTTTTCAAGCTTGGATGGATCCGTTTATTTCGGAATCATACTTAAATCCTGATCCTAATGTCCAAGACCTGGAATTGACTGAGGTTTTATTTCTGACTGCCTCGCCTTCCCCAGCAGCTGCCATCCCGAAACAGCTGCTCTCTGCACGGTCAGCGCAGCTGGAGAAACGCAGTCTCTGCTTATCAGCTATTTGGGAAGAAAATTTCGAGTGGCGAGGTCTGAGTTATGGAAATCTGTTCCTGAGGAAATTGGATTGAGCCCAGTCCTCAGCATGGAGAATGAAATACGAGATACATCTGTTCAGTAAAAGTTTTCTTCCTGGTGAAGATACTTTTATAATACATGCTGCCTGCAGAACAAAAGAAACGTCTGTCTTGTGCTTTCTACATGATCATTGTTTGGCAATTAAATGCCAAGACAGTCTAAGGTTTAGAAATGTCAACTAGCCTGAAATGAGAGGATTGATAGTCTTTTAAATTGTACCTACTCATTTGGCAGTGTAGGCATCTTTGTCTCAAATCTTGTTCATATATATGCTTTACAAATTTATCTTCAGCTAATGAGAATGAGACTTTTAATAGCTTCTTGAATTAACCCTGCTTTTGAAGATGGCTCGCAAGAATTTTAAAATGACAGAGTACTTTTTTTTTTTTTAAAGAAATTCAGCTTTTTTTGTCTTGGGGGTTGTTTCAAATCTTAAGCAAATACATTTAAGTGGTGGCTTATTGCTGGGTAACTCTGTATTCAGGTCTTTAATGCTTTGACCTAATGCTATTCTTCGGATTTCTTTTCAGGCAAGGTATAAAAGTAAAGTTATAAGCCATTTTGAGAAGATACTTAGCTTGCCAGTTTTTCGTAGAAGCTCGTTGGCTCTTGCACATCCTTTTTCTGATACATGTTTGGCCAGTTTGCTGAGTATATGTTTTAATCTTCATGCTTTCTTTTAACCATTTTGCCCTTCCACATGCTGAAGCTTGTTCTCCCAACATCTCTTGCGATTCCCCTGACCTAAATAAGATCCTGTGATACTTTATGTTTTCTTTTTTTTTTTAATCCCATCCCCAACTCATACATGGAAGAGTCATCCTGGTCTTTCTGCAAAGCTTCTTTTCAGATATCTTTGGGATTTTTACATTATTTTTTAGAAGAATTCCCCCCCCCCCCTTTTTTTTTTTTTTTCTTTTATTCTTCCAGCTAGGGTAAATTGAGCCCAACTTTCCTCTTGTGAGGAATTCATAGAGCAACATCTAAATCAATAGTTGTGTTACATGTATTCCTCAACCTACTTTAAAATAGTTTTTCTTCAGATGTGCTTTGTGTTTTTGCATTTTTTTTTAGAAAAATTCCCCCCCCCCTTTTTTTTTTTTTTCATGCGTTAAAAGGCTTATGGTGGTTGTCATGAGCCCTCTGTAGTGAATTACAGCGATACCATTGCGGAAAGCCTGATGAGGCCTGGTGGGTGAGTAGATGACTGGAAAAGCCTGAGTTTGATAAGCACCTTCTTGTTGCACCCCTTGGAGGCCTCGCTCGGCACAGGACGGTGTTGTTGGTATTGAAACAGAAGTTCTCGCCACCTGGCTCGACCACTTGGCATCTGGAGAAGACACTCTCACTTGACTCAATTAAAAAGCTCTAACTTTATTTATCTAGTGACAAAACAGACTTCTAAAGCTGAAGAATGGTTTTCTCTTTTTCTTGTTATAGAGGAATGACATTGCCATGGCAATTACAAAGTTTGATCAATTTGACTTCCTTATTGATATTGTTCCAAGAGATGAACTGAAGCCTCCAAAGCGGCAGGTGAGACATAAAAATGATTGCCTTATTGTCTGCCCTTTCCTTGGTGTGATTTCAGCCTCTAATTGACTGAGAGGTGACAAAGCAATGCAGAGTCAGATTTAAACATGAGGTTTGTGCCTCTCTTGCATGTTTATTTACAGTAGTTTTCAGGTTCTTAAATTTTTTTTTTTTAATGGAAATAGAGCTTGAGTGGAGATTTACAGAAGTCTGACTTGGAGATTTAGTTAAGTTTCAAAAACGTTACTAAATAGCTCTGATACCAAATGTTGCCAGTGTTAAAAATTTAACTTTTAAAAAGTGTACCAAGTCTGTATCCTTTGACTTGCAAAAGGAGAAACAGACTTCTTTGCTTAGAAGTACCACCTCCTGCATCCTTTGGGGCAGTCATTGCTACTGTAAACATCCTTGACTGGAAGCTGTAAGGTGTTAGAAGGAGCTTTCAGTCGGATGTTTACAGCAGCAGGCTGCTGCGGTCATCTGAGCACAAGATCTTTGAAACTTAACAGGCTTGTGTTTCCCAAAGCACTTGTTTCCCTCCATGTTCGAGATGGTGCTGAAAATGCAATGAGGTGGGGTTGAAGCTCAGTCTCGCTGCTTCAAATGCACAAAGAAACAGATCCAGCTCCTGGTAGACTAATTTATCTCCTTCGCCTAAAAGGTTGGTGTTTTGCTGCTAAAAGTTCGCCAGTTCAGTAATTGCTAATCTCTCTTCGTTAGAAGTCGCCTGGTAGGTAAAATGGCTGGGCTACCATCAGGACACCCCTTCTAGGGAGCAGCTCCATTCGGATAGTGCTGCACCTTGTTCAGCAACTCCTGGAATCATTGCCCAGGACTCAGCTGGACCAATTTCTTCTCTGAGCAGTACATTTCAGTAGTTTTATAACAATTTATAAAAATTCCTTCAACTGGTTTTCTGATACTTTTGAAGGTTTGCAGTGTGTTAGCCTTTGAAAAAATCCGAGGTGGTCCTGAAAATAGCTTCTCTAGTGAGTGCTGCTGGAGAGGCTGGCATACTTTAAAACATCTTTCTGGCAAGTGTTTTACTTGGAAGTTTTTCTTTGACATGGTTTTTTTTTTGTATTCCGATATAAATCAGAATAACATGCAAAAAGATACTTGCTTTGAGCGTAGAGACCAGCGGTTCCGTTGTGGACCTGGATTTTGGAGGTTGCTATTTTACTTTTTATCTTGAAGTCCTCGTGGTGCTACTGAGGTGATGGCCAAAGGGAGGAAATACACGCTTCGTCCTTTCTGATGATGTCCCGAGTTGAGCTTAACCTCGCATTCTGATTTCCAGAAGCAGCGTGACTTTCTAGTAAATGAGGAAAATACCTTTACGTGTCACAATATGTGCAGGAGAGTCCATCCTCCTGCTGCAGTCAGCTATGGTAAAATTAGCAGCATCCCAAGGCTTCGTTACAGGTGTGCTGGGAGCTGCATTCTGTAAACGTGGTGAGCATCACATGCGGGAGCATGGCACAGCTCCTTCCATTCCTTCATGGAGTTCCCTGCTTTATCCCTGCAGCAGTGCAGCAGAGGTGATTTATCCAAAGATCATTAGTTCAGCATTAAATAAAAAGGCAGAGCAGCAGCCTGCACAGCCGCTCTCGATGCTTTGCTTAACTGGGGGAAGGAAAACCCACGTTTCAGTTTGTTCAGCTTGATAAGCTGAAACGAGTTGGCTGCAGCCTGAAGTAACACAAGTTAATTCTGGCATTGCGAATTCAGTTCGTTTTCTTTCAGGTGCCTCATTCAGTTATTCTACTTCTTAGTGCTATTTTTAGACGTACCCCGTGTTTGGGAAGGAGAACGTTGCCCATATCTTTTCCTTGCTGGAGCCTTTTGATTTACCTGATTACAGAACATTCAAGTTCTATAATCAAATGAATGCCTGCAGTATTTCAGTTGTGCGTTAGACGCATATAGGTTGCTAGGTTAACGTGTCTTGATGATACATCACACCAGAGCTGTGTCTTTTGGATTGCACAGCATCAGCAGTGAAACCCTGTCGGTTTGGGGTTTGAATTAGGCTTTAGAGATCTGTCTCTCGCCAATACATCCACTGCCTGTGAACACTGCTGAATCACTGAAATACTTCTTACGGCAAGAGTAGTTTAATGGAGAAGTAGCTGCCCGATAAGAACGTGGGTTAGAACTTTGCAGTGGAAAATACTCCTTTGATTCAACAGTGTTGAAAAGTGGCTGCCTGTAGGCTGTCAGCCTGCACTTTTTGGCTGGGGGTACAATCTGTATTTTATCTCTGCCACAGGAAAGACTGTTTGACAAGTTGGTGTCGGTTACGTGGAAGAGCTGGGAATGAAACCATGACTGTTATGTTGCTCTGGTAACTAAAGCTATGGCTTGAAAATAAAAGATGGCAAACGATGTGATACAACCTTGTTCAAGCACATTTGGATTTAAAGCCATTTTTGCCTGTAGCAAATGCAACTTAACCTGGAATAGCTACTTACAGAGGTACTCGGTTGCCGTAATTGTTTCAGGATTCAGCTAGGAATTGAGGATTGGAGCGCTGTAGAAATAACATACCTAAGGACTGGGCTTTACAGTAACAGCCGCAGCTCTTCTATACATACTGTTTTATGGTTAACTGAAGACATGTCCTGTTGAATATATATTTTAAATTTGTTATTAATCCCTCCCCCAAAGGATTTGATGAAGCGAGTAGGAATAATCGGTGAACTGCCATGTGCAGGAAGTATTGTAAGTATTTGATTGCAGTGGTTTGCAGTACCAGGGGATGGTACTAATGTTTGCTCTGAGAGCCAGGCTTAGAAGTCACTTCTTGATTACGGCCAACTGTGAACGGCTTAATCTTTGGGGGGTAATTTTATGGTAGGCTATTGAGAAACCTCCCAGTAGTCAGTCTTTTCTTTAATTGCTGTCCCTCTGAGAGACTAGCATCTGAGCAAAAGTGCTCTCTTATCGAGCCTGATGCCCTCTAGACAACATACATGGATCTTGTTTAATATGAATTTTTCTTCCGCTGTTCAGTTGGATGCACTGAAGGTAATCCACGAGCAAGCCTCGTTTAATGCAGGGGAGTCAAGCAGACTTGTGTAAGTGGGAATCTACCATGTTGTAGCACGTGTAAACATCCTACACTCTCAGCTGTGAACTCGAGGTGGCTGGGAGAGGATTGTTTACGCCTTCTGCCATGGAGTGAACATCTGGTGAGCTGCATCTTCCCTAAGGTGCAAGACCCGAGTGCTCCTCTGGGGAGCTTAAGAATTTTGACTCAAGTGTTAACGGCTTGCCACTTAACATAATCTCAGAAAATCTACTTCTTTGCCTAAAATATCGTTAATCATAAGGGGCTTTTCTCTCCTAAAGACATGCTTAGATAAAACAAAACAACGGTATTACAGCTTGTGCTTCTGACAGTGAGCTAGAGCAGAGCCTTTTGTTTCTTCACACTCTTGGGATGTTCCTGCTACCAGCAGAATCAGGCTGTTAAGCTGCAGTACCAGATGAAATTGTTGTAATTCTGGAAAAGCTGGATTTAAATAAATAAATAAAGGCACGACAGTGTGCATCAAGTCCGTGACTTTTATTCCCAGGGATTTAACATTGGAGCTAGGTTTAGATTTGTGTTGGGTATGTAGGCTAAGAAGAGGGGTTTGTTGACAGATGAGGCTTTGTAAGTCTTCCTGGTGCATTTGCGATTCATTCCGTGTTAAGATAACAGGCAATGATGGAATTTACTGATGAAGAGTTGCATGGTTTTCAACTACGGTAATTTTATTCATTTGCTTCTCATAACGAAATTGGTGACTACATTATTATACGTGGAGTATTGGAAATGGTTTTGATTTCCATATAGCTGAATAAATGAGGAAACCCGTTTTGATTTATCATTTCAGATTTACTTAGGTAAACTGTTAGGAACAAGGTATTAAAGATACTTTCCTATGGAGCATGCTTATGGGGGGGCCGTTTCAGCTGTGGTTGGGGTGTTTGGATGCTGATCTGTTCCCTCCCCATTTACCTCTCTTTTACCTGTGCCGCAGGAAGAGGTGCGCCAGGCTGTGACCCCAGCTGAGCCCGTACAGTATTATTTCACGCTTGCTCAGCAGCCTGCTGCAGTGCAGGTTCAGGGGCAACAGCAAGGACAACAGACCACCACGTCCACAACTACTATCCAGCCAGGACAGATCATCATCGCCCAGCCTCAGCAAGGGCAGGTGAGCGATAAGCAGCGCGCAGGGGCTTTGCAGTTCAGTGGAGCCAGTGGAACGCTCAGCTCGCCCATCTGTAATGTATTGCAGTATCCTGTTCTCGCTGCTCAGAACAATCGATAACAATGTAGAAATGTGTTTTCAGATACCTTAGTAACAAGGGTCGTCTAGGTCCTGGGTTCCCTTCATGGTGATTTAAGCATCAACAAGTAACAGCGGGTCTAGGAAGCAGTCTGTCTATTTTGTATCTTTGTATCTTGTGGCTGTTTCCCGTGTTCAGTCCTTGCTTGGTCCTTATCCCTGTTTTGAACGCAGAGCACCCCTGTGACGATGCAGGTTGGAGAAGGTCAGCAGGTACAGATAGTGCAGGCCCAGCCGCAAGGACAGACCCAGCAGGCTCAGAGTGGAACTGGGCAGACCATGCAAGTCATGCAGCAGATCATCACCAATACAGGAGAAATCCAGCAAATACCGGTAAGACTTTACCAGTAGAAATGTGTAACAGTCTTGTGAGCAAACTATCTGCTGGTGTTCTGGCATGAGACTGTCTGTATATGTATGCTTTTTTAACTGTAAGAGGAATTTTGGATTGAGTGGTGTGTTTTCTGCACTTAGAGAGGAAAACTAACCAGGTGTGACATGAAGGAGGACATAAATCTAACTCATTTAGTGTAGACTCATTGCCCACCCCCAACACTTTCCCTTGAGTGAAATAGTTATGATTAGGAAGTAACAGATAAAATACTTCCTGGACAAACATTAGTTCTTTACTACAGCATGGTTTCAATAAAGCATAATTAATTTCTTTTGCCTTTACTTCGTTCTGCCTCTGCAATCTGAAGTCATGACCTGGCACACTGAGTGGGAAAGGTGCCATCTGTGAGTTTATTAATAAATGTTTATGTTATAAGAAATATTTCTACAAAATACTTCGAGCTGGTTGGAGGAGTGGCTTTGCAGAACCAGAAAATATCTCCTCACTTTCACATCAATATAGACCTGTTGTGGCCTTAAGAATGGGATTTTGAATACCCAGCATCAGCAGTAACATTCTGGCACGTGTCCTAGGTAAACACGTGGGTCAAAAAAAGTCACCTTTTTTCCCCCATCTCTGTAACTTATAAAGCCAGGTCTTTTGGTTCCCATCTGGAAAATTTCACACCTCTTAAAGAAAAAAAAAAAAAAAAATCTGTCCAGTTCTGTGTACTTAACCAGCAACCCAAAGGTCAGACCAAGTGACCAAGGCAAGCGTTTCACTTTGTCTTTGATTTCTGTTATTAAGAAGTGTACCCACAGCTGTGGCAAAACTGATCTTTCACACAAGTTCTGCTTTTCAAGATTTGCTGAGCTTCCCTCTGTACGTCTGGCAAATGTTCGTGCCTTGACCTAGCATCTCGAAAAAGGTTTAGGTGTGGGTGTTGCCAGATTTTTCCAATTCACTTCCAAATTCTTTTCATCTCAAGTGTTCAGCTGATTCCTACTGCTTGGCTTAAGGCATTGGTCAGAAAGGAAGTGAATTGCTTGCCAAATACGGTGTTGTACTACAAGCAGCCTTTTTTCTTCTCTGCATTCTCCACTACCTTCCTTTTACATTCTTTTTTTTTTTTTTTTCCTCCCCCTTCCTTTCCTTAAGAAAGTCTCTCCAAGACACTTGTTCTTAAAAGCATTTTGGAAGATCTCCACCTCCAGCCTCAGTGTATCCATTACAACAGTACTGAAAGTTGCAGCATCCTCCTTTGGTTCAGCAATACAAGAACAATTCAGACTTGTTTTCCAGTTGTCTCCGGTGAATGCTGTAATTCCCTACAAGAACGGGGCTTGGAGATCTGCTGGGAGAAAGAATTCTTTATGCATAGCCTTCTGCAGAGAGTACTGCTCTCCAGATAGGTGGGTCCTGTTGCAAGTGGTCCCGTGTTTTAGGAGTCTGAGACTGGAGGCTTTTTAATTAGTGTCTGGTTTTGGCCAAGCATATGCTTCTACCTGCCTCTTGCCTGGGAGCATCTAGGAATGGGTCCTCAGAAGCTTCTTACGCTGCAGATGTAAGACAGAAACTGCCAAGTGCCAGCGTGGTGTCTTTTGTCTTTGGGAGCGCTTGGGTCTCTCACAATTGTAAGACTGCAAAACAGCAACTTAGGATCAGTGTTTTAATGAAATAGTCAAAATTCACATTTCTGTATCTAGCAGAGATACTGTTTTGACTGTAATTAAGAGGATTCTTCTCAATCACAGCGTTTTGAAGAATTACAGTTTGTGCTGAAGGAAGCATCTTTCCCCTTGCTGGCTTCCAGCAAGTGAAGTGAGATGGAACATGGAGCCGTGCACTCACTGCCAGAGCTTTTTAGTGCCCTAACCTGGAAAGCAGTTTCTGTTTGGTTTCCCCGAATTCCACTCCTTGGTCTCCTCAGTGCTGCTGTCCGTTCTGCTCTCTTTCTGCTTTGCTTTTATTTTTTTTTTCCCTTGAGTTCCCTTTCTCTCTCGATCTCATTAGTGCTGTCTGCTGATAGTTCCTTTTCACTCTGGTATCTGTTAGAGTTCAGCAAAGAATCTTTCATAACACAAATAGGACCGTTTGAAACACTCTCCTAAAACTGGTAGTGCCTCTGGCCATTGCAGGAGTGTTGAGAGAATCTTACTAATGTTCTCTGCTGGTTTTCCATGTGCTCCCGATACCGTGTCTGCTTCTCTACTGCAATTTACCATTTACTCTAGGACCACGGGTTGCCTGTGGAAAGGTGACTTATTTTTTATAAACTGAGGAAAAACTGGAAGTGTATACATCAATTAAACAGTAATCACTTGTTTGTCCGCATTAATTTGGTGTTACATTTAATCCGTGTCTTAGCTAGACCTCATCGGGCAGGTTCTTTGGAGCTCACTCTCGTTTCTGGAAGAACGCTGTTTCTAAATCGCTTTCACCCATTCGGTTAGTAGTGTAATTAAAATCTAAGCAGGAAGGCCCCAGTGCAGAAAACATGATCTGCCAGCAGATCTCGGTGCAGAAACAAATTCTTTATTGAAATGTTTATGCTCATGTGGAGTTTATTTGCTCTTGAAATAATATTGGAGCTTTTAGACACAGCTGGTGAAGTCAGCGGCATTTGTGTAAATGCCAAGACCACGTTCTAGGCACTTGAACCTTTGTCAGTGAGCAGTTTTTAAAGTATTCTGTATGTCCTTCTTTCCCCTTTGTAAAAAGAAGAAAACTCAAAACATTTTTTTGTATATAATTGACCTTAAGACTGTGAATCTAAATGTTCTAAAGTTAAATAACACAAAAAGAAAAATTCAACAGTAGTATCAATCATACTGTGACCTTTTTATTGCTTCTCAGATGTGTATTAGCAGTAGTTCCACCACAGGTTACGATGATGACATTGTCTCCATATCCCACGCCCCCAAGCACCTAACCGTGCAAGATCAGGGTTGTAGGAAATAAATTTGCATTTGATTGTTATGCGCGAAGTATTGACGCAGAAAGTATTGGCCTTTGCCAGGTGGGGATTGACATATATTGGCAGAGAGTTGCATTAAAAGCTTCCAAATGTTACCTTGCGATATTCCTGGGTTTTGTCATCTCTGCTGTCTTTATGTGAAAATTTCCCATGTAGTATTTTATATTTTTTGGCAGGATATAATAGGAGTGTCAATATGTGCGGCTAGCTCATAAGAATTTTCTTAATGTGAAATGATACGTCAAAGTAGTAACTCGATTCTCGTAACCAAAAAGAAAAATAAGTGTTCTTAAAGCTCTCTGAAATCTAGCAATTAATGTGCTTGAGCTACTAACTGACCGCTCCCGTTCTGGAGAAAGAAGTAATGTTGTGCTTCCTCGGGGTTTTACTTCAAGAACCTGCAGGAGTTCTGCGGACTTCGGTCTTGCTTTGGCAGGGTCTGTGATAGTTACTCATCTCAACCGGTAACCAACTGAAGCTTCCCAGTGTCATCTAGTACTCTGGCTTCTGTTGTGGAAACAAGAAGGCAAGTTTGTGTGTTTCAGGTTACACAGTTATCTGTTTAATTTTCTTTCCCTGCCCCCTCCGCTTGTCTCCAGGTTCAGTTGAATGCTGGCCAGCTGCAGTATATCCGCTTAGCCCAACCCGTGTCAGGCACGCAGGTAGTCCAGGGGCAGATCCAGACGCTTGCAACCAATGCACAGCAGGTATGCACTATAACAGCAGGGCTGACAATAACCGGTAAAGTGTTGTTCCCTAGCTCCTGAAACTGCAAATTCCAGTCGAATTTACCAGCTCTTGGGCTAGGATTCCTGCATTTCTTTTCTTCCTGTTACTTTCATCAGAATAATAAAGCAAGGAGCGTAGCAGAAGCCTCCTTTACCTATATGTGAAAGGTGCATGCATATATATGTGTGTGTGTGTGTGTCTCGCTGTGTAAAGCTCATGCTGCTTCTGAGCTGACTGCAGGTAAAACTTCAGTTCATCAGTCTTCTCTTTACTTCTGCTCCTTCTGGCTGGGTGAGGGAGGAGCAGCCGTGCAACCTCTCAGGAAAGCTATTGCAGAGGTGAAACATCAAGACCAGCGTTGCTGCCAGCAGGTTGTCTCGTGTTCTTGTTGAGACCGGTCGCGAAGGGATTCTTCTCTGCCTTCAGAGGATAGGAAGGCTGCTGCTTTTCTGTGATCCTGGAGGCTGTGTTCTCCTCGTGAAAGTCAGGGAGGACGTGCTTGTGTTTGGTTTGGAACAGCCGAGTCCCGTGTCCTTTGTTCTTGACTTGTGGTTAGCACCAGCATGACTGCGGGCCGGCGGCATAAGCCGTATCTTACCACATGGTGGGGTAATGGAAGTTGGAAAGAGTCTAAAAGCTCTTGAAAGGCAGCAGCAGAATATTGTTAGTGGGGTTCTGACCCTCTCCAAAGTGCTGTCAGTGATCATCCTTCTCTTATCCCTGTAGATAACGCAGACAGAAGTCCAGCAAGGACAGCAGCAGTTCAGCCAGTTCACGGACGGACAGGTAAGAACGTGGAGTTCGTTGGTGCTACGTCCCTTTGAGGTCAAGGGCTAGAAAGAGCTTCTTAAAGTCTGCGTGTTCTAGCAAATCTGCTCCTCCCGATCAAACACTGCTACCAAACCTTAACCAGGAGCAGGATAAGTAGATGTTGTGCTGTTTTTAATTCGGGTGGATTCTTTGTGTTCTGCCGCGCTCGCTCCAAATTAATCCAGTCCCTTGCACTCTGGGCAGGATCCATTTTCATCCTAACCAGTTTAGGAATAAAAGTCTTAACTATCGACTGTTGCATAGGTAGCCTGAGCTCAAGGTGGGCATCAGAAATTCACAGAATATACTTAGTTACGATTTAGCAACAAATGTCTAGCGGCAGTTTGTGGTCTGGTTTGGGGACAGATTTTCTTTGGACATGAGAGTTGCTGTTAACACCACCGCTAAACTTGTGGGGTTAATGTACAGCATTGTGCTGGGAGGACCTGCTGCTGAGCCTGATGAGCGCTGACAGTCGTTTCTTCCCCCTGCTCCTGTCTCTGCCAGCAACTTTATCAGATCCAGCAAGTGACCATGCCTGCAGGCCAGGACATCACCCAGCCCATGTTCATTCAGTCCACCAACCAAACCTCAGACGGCCAAGCCACACAAGTGACAGGGGACTGACCGGGGACGTCGTAGCAAGTCGTCTCTGTGTGGAAACCAACACGTACCAGCTTGACGTTCGCCGTACCAACCTGGTCTGATGAATACATCTGCTTCTGTGTATCTGTACTTGATATTAAGCCTATAGTAGGCTGCAATCTCCGGTGCACTATACACCTTCCTCTGGTGGGTATGAGAGCATATCCAACAGACACTGACAAGAATGCAATATTTTTATTTTTATTTTTAGAAATCAATATTTCAGTGTATTCAGCTGCTTGTTCAAACCAATAGAACTGAAAGAGAACTAATCAGAAGGAACTTGTAGCATCTCATTGAGCAACGTGTAAAACGTTTTTATCTAGTAAAATTATTAAAGGGTACTGCATCTGGTTTGTTGCAAGAGCTTTATTCCTGGTATTCTGTTTGTAATTTTTTTTTCTTTCTCTGAATAGAGCTAGATTCAGTCCTCCCATCTCAATGGTTTATTAGGGGTGTATGGGGGGAGCGCGTGTGCGTGTGTGTTAGATTTTCCTCTCCTGCCTCCTTTTTTGGTAAGCCGGAGCATTGGCTATATGCAACTCAAGGGCAGGGAGTAGGGGAGGAGTAATTAAAGCGAAAACAAACAAACAAAAAAAACATTCCTTGTACGATGACTGTATTTTCTAAGGGCAAGAGATCCTTTAATTTGGCCTGGTTTATTCCAGAAACACTAATGGAAGTCTGGACAAACCCCAGCCCTGCTGTTAACTGTTGTACTAGCTTCAGTCAATGCATGTAAGATAAGCTTCATAAAATGAAATAAATTTCCTTTGTAAGATAATGTGTGTGCTTTCTTTGAGATCCAGTGCCCCGTCTCAACCTGCCAAGCAAAGAGCATCCCGAATCCCTCAAATGATTACACCTGAAGCAGTGAAACTAGCAACGAGGCTTAAGGGTGGCCTGGAGAAGGGGCGGACGAGTGACAGGAGTGGTGGGACTGGGGGCTGCGGGTGCCCTGTGCCAAGGGGGTCTCGTGCCAGGATTACCTCCACAGGGCGCAGCCCTTGGGCTGTGGGTACCGAGGCCGCGCCGCCTCTCCCTGCAGCTCCTGTGTCCAGGATCCAGCTGAACCAGCCGGGAGGAGCTTGGGGCAGGTTTGAGCGAACTCCAGAAGTCAGGGTTAATTGAACCCTCTGCAAGGATCCTGGCAGCACTGGGCCAAGCTTAGGTCTTAGCTAAAAGTGGGGTGCGAGTTTGTAACCGAGCACCTTTTGTGCATCGAACATCAAGCAGTTTGACGTAGTTGGCACTTTGTCCAGCCGCTCCATGGCTTTGTGCAGTGCTCGGCAGAGCCGGGTGACAGCGCCAGGAACGGTGCCAGCGCTGCCACTTGGTTTTCACTGGCAGAAGCACTGAGTTCACCACGGTTTCGCAACGAGGAGAGGCTGGCTGCTCCCACGCCTGGCGTGTAACCCGGCGCCCAGCTGCGGGCTGCTTGGTTTGTGGGTGCTTTCCCTGGCAGCGCCCGGCCCGGCTGCGCGGGATGCAGGGTGCCCGCATGAGAACCGTGGGGGGCGGCTGCTGCTGGGGAAGGAAAACTCCGCTTCAGCATTTGGCTGGTGCAAACCGCTAAATCTGGGCCAGGTTGTTCCAGCCGGGCAAGGGCGCTTGCTGCATTACCTGCACCTCCTGGGCTTTCTAAATGTCAATTTTCTTTTTTTTTCTTTTTTTTTTTTTAATTTTTCCGATCCTGCAGTGCTTGGGAGCCAGCGGCGCAATGCAGCAGCGGAGCCATGCAGCCCGGCACCTTCCTGAGCATCAGCCCTCCGGTACCGCAGCCTTGTGCGGGCAGTGAGGAGTGGTTGGCAGAGCTGGGGCATCCCCTGTGCACGGAAAAAATGAAGTCGGGGG